AGCAGGGCCCCCAGCCCTGTGTCACTAAGATGGCAAATAATCATCTTCTATTTGCTTTAGACCTATGATGGTATCTCATTTCAGCACTTCCGGTTATCAATATCACAAGTGTGATTTAATGGGTATTTTATTCACTCAAGATCTGAAACACACACATTCTTCTCAAGTACCCATGGTCAATTTATAATTAGTAGCTGCAAAGCTACTCTCAATAAATTTCAAAGAGTAGATGTTATAAAGATTACATTTGCAAACTACAATGCAATCCAATAAGAATTTACTAAGTAAAAGGTTAATTTTAGAAATTAATTCAAAACTTTAAAAATATATTTCTAAATAACTCATGGGACAGAGATTTTATAACGGAATTTAGAAAAAGTTTCAGGTCGGGGCGCCTGGGTGGCTTAGTCGGTTAAGCGTCCGACTTTCGCTTAGGTCATGATCTCGCGGTTCGTGGGTTCGAGCCCCGCGTCGGGCTCTGTGCTGACTGCCAGCTCGGAGCCTGGAGCCTGTTTCAGTCTGTGACTCCCTCTCTCTCTCTGACCCTCCCCTGTTCACGCTGTCTCTCTCTTTCCTAGAAATAAATAAACATAAAAAAAAAAAGAAAGAAAAAGTTTCAGGCCAACAATTATAAAAAGACAATATAGCAAAATTTGTAGGATAGAGCTAATGTGGTATTTGAAAATTTAAAGCTTTAAATACATTAGGAAAGAAGGCTGAATATAAATGAGATAATTAATTAGAAGCAGAAAAAAAAGCAGAATATACTCAAAGAAAGTAGGAAAACATAATGAGAGAAATTTTAAAATATCAGATATAATGGAGTTTTGTTTAACAAAGCTAGAAGTTAGTTCTTGCAGGGAAAACATAACCAAATATTTAAACTTCTGGAATGTTGATCAAGAAAAAGAAACAGGGCAAAAATAAGTAATATTATTAGCGTAAGAGAGGCTGTAACTACAAATGCTAAAGAAATGATATTAGTAATGGTATGCACAAAAAAAGTTGAAAACTTAGGTGAAATGGGCAAATTTCTCACCCGAAATATACCAACATTACCTGAAAAAGAAATAGAACACTTGAATGATTAGAAATGGAATCAGCAGGGGCGCCTGGGTGGCTTAGTCGGTTAAGCGTTGGACTTCAGTTCAAGTCATGATCTCATGGTTCGTGGGTTCGAGCCCAGCGTTGGGCTCTGGGCTGACAAATAGCTCAGAGCCCGGAGCCTGTTTCAGATTCTGCATCTCCCTCTCTCTCTCTCTTTCTCTCTGCCCCTGCTTATGCTGTCTCTCTCCCTCAGAAATAAATTTTAAAAACACTAAAAAAATTTTTTTAAAGAAATGGAATCAGCAGTTTAAAATATTTCACATAGAAAACAGGCATTTCCTCTCAAATATACAAGGAATAGAAAATTCAAACCAACACAAACTCTCTTATGAGGTTTTTTTTTTATTTCCAATTCCCTTTGTAAGGCAATATAACCATGACCATATATCAAAATAAATACAATGTATGAAAGAAAATTAGAAACTAACCTCTTTCATGAACATAGAAACAAAAAGCCTAAACATCATATTAGCAAATCAAATAAGAATTTAAGAATAATAAGAATTTAATTTATAAAAATTAAAAAAAAAACATGCTGTCTATTGGGAATCAGGAATGATTCAACATTAGAATTTGAGGCACTTGGGTGGCTCAGTCAGTTGAGCATCCGACTTTAGCTGAGGCTATGACTTAGCAGTTCGTGAGTTCAAGCCCCCTATCAGGCTTGCTGCTGTCAGCCTGTCAGCACAGAGCCCACTTTGGATTCTCTCTGCCCATCTCCTGCTTGTGCTCTCCCAAAAATAAATTTAAAAAATTTTAATAAAGAATTTTATTTACCACATTTACAAAATAATGGAGAAAACTCATGATTGCCTCAATAGATTAATAAATGCACAAAATAAAATCAACATCCATTACAGTTTTTTTTAAACTCTTAAACTAAACAAAATTCCCCAAAAGAAGTTTTCTTAATCTGACAAAGGGCACCTTCATATTTAATGATTAAAAAGTTAAGGGCCTCCATGGAGGGGAGAACAGCAAATACACAGCTACTCGAGGAATTAAACAGAACAATCATCCACACCAGTCTGTCTCTACTCTTGATAGTTAACCCAGTCACCCAGAACTTTATCTATGCTTCTTATATAACTGCACTTCTTGGTGTCCCAACTAGATTATCACTATGGTGCAGGTGGCCTCTGTTGACCATATATCAGGAAGTCAAAGGAGATCTCGTGATGGCCAATGTGGCAGGTAGAAATAAAAAGTCCACCTCCTCTAGTTAAGGATAATGTTTCCTTAACATCTTTTATGTGTGTACTAGATTTTGGAAAATGGAAAGCTAACCATGAGTGCAGAGGATCTGACTTTTCTGGAGAGTTAAAGAAATATAACGTGAATGGGAAGATAGTCATTTATGGTTATATTCTTCAGGGAATCAGCAGTGACTAAGATATTTTACTTGTTATTTTTATCAAAATGACCTATGAGCAATGGGTGTCTAAGAACAACCCACCCCACTACTCCCCCCAAATAAATCCTGAGATACGAGTGTAAGTGGTTTACTTGGGACGTGATCCCAGGAAACATCAGTAGAGTGGGAAAGTAAGACAGGGATAGGAAGAAAGCCAATATGGATCACCACTTTGAGCAAATGGAGCTCAACTCCCCTGTAGAACATGCCAGAGTGTTGTCCCACTTGAGAGGCAAGGAAGGGAGAGGCAATGGATCTAGGCTATTCACACCTGTCATTGGCTGAGGCATAGCATTAGCTTCCTGGCACTTCCAGTTGTTGGGCATGCCTGGGCCAAAAGAAAGCTGTCATGGGGAGAATCACTGGTACTTGCAGTAGGAAGGATATGGTAAGGGAGACTGCGGTACCATCTGCTATCAGGCCACTGTGGAGTCCTTGTTATACTGTTCCATGTAACAGATTTGCAGGTGTCCTTCTGGACTGATGTGAGTAGGTGAACAAATCTGTGCAGGCACCTGCACAAAACAGTGGGCATCCTCCACTCTGTCCTTAGCCACACTGGATAAACTGAGGCAATTTAATAACTCATCTACCTCTTCTAAAACTTTCACCTCCCCAAATCAGGACCAGTTACGCCTCCCTGCTGTCAGCATTTGCACACATTTTCTGCCACAGCCATATGGTAATTATCTGTCCCATTTCCTGCATGTCCACAATAGGTGTCATCGGCTTCCATCATTTTCTACCTGCAGGACTGAGCTGCTGCTCCGGCTGACCAGTGAAAACTGCACAAACACTATAATTAATCTATGCACTCCTTCAACAAATATTTATTGAGCATTGTCAGTAGGCCTCTTTTACAAGAGTACTAATCACATTTATCTTCCAAAGGCCCCACCCCCTAATACCATCACCTTGAAGGTTATGATATGAACACATGAATTTGGGGGGTACATTCAAACCATAGCAGTTTACTAAGGAAATACCTGGGGGAAGAGCTTTCCAAGCAGTGAACAGCATATGCAAACACACATGTCAGTAAAACTGACAAATTCTAGAAGCTCTAAGAATGAAATATGGTGAAGGTAATGTTATGAGTGAGGTGGACAGAAGCAAGGTCATCACAGTTCCATGAATAGAGAATTCAAAATATTAGAATAAATGTAAATGGAAACTATATGTGAGATAGAATTTTGTAACAGTTGGATTGGCAAAGATCCAAAGGTTTGTGAAGACTCCACTGGGGAAAACGTGGGGAAACCCACACTACTATACGTAACTGTGGGACTATCAGTTTACAATATATAAGGAGCAATTTAGCCATATGTATCTAATGTTCAAAAGAAAAGAGGGAGAGTTTACATATCATTTACCATAGCAATTCTTCTAAGAATTTTTCCTATAGATGTACTCACACATGCACACAAAAATAGTCCTCAGGACTCTAGCATTATTCAAAATAGCAAGCGTCTGGAACAAGGGACCATATGGGCTAACTGCTGTATAAACAACGAAGTCCCAGCGGTTTGACCTGGTGAAGGAGGGCAGCGTCCAACCAGGTGCTCACGATGATGACATGCCCTGTGCCCAGTCCTACTCTATGCACATTGTCCCTACATACCGTCTGGTTAGCACCCACTCACTCTCAAGAGTGCCACCTCTTGACTACAGACTTAGGAGCACCGTGTGCTTCAGGAACCCACTCAGGGCCCTCCCGCGGTATCCCCCAAGCAACGTGGAGATGGAATGGGTTTCTGCGCCAGGCCCAGAAGGAGCACATGCACAGCTCATTGGCCAGACGCTATCATGTGGGCAGCCCAGCAGCAAGGGAAGCTGGGAAGGTGGCTCCAGCTCTGGCGGGAACACACGGGGACCCACAGAAGGGACGTGTGGGCAGCCCCTACCACAATGATCCTCAAATAAACTGAGGGCCTGTGTGGATGACTAACCCAAGTCAGGGGCTGGTAATCATGGCGGCTTCTAGGAAGTTTAGAAAATGGCGAGCAAGAATAGATTTATCGCTCTGCCTATTCTGTTGCATTTTCTACCACATACTACCTTAAAAAAAGAGAGGGGGCTTTAGCTGTGGAGGGACCCAAGGAAGATTAAAAACTTCCACAGGCTAGTTAAGGTCAAGGTTGTGAGGTGGTGGTAATTCCTCAGCCAGCACCACGGGGCCGGCTCTGCCACACAGAGGAACCCCTACAAGCCAGGGTAGGAGCCGAAGTCGGCCGGCAAGCGCCGCACTTGGGCGCTGGAAGCCAGGCAGGCCACCATTCAAGGTGGCCATTCAAGGCCACCATTAGCCAAACCACCGCCTGGAGGGAACCACAAAGACCTACCCAAGAGGAAAATATTGCCGCACCGCGCAACGGATCCAACTAGGCCCCGCCCATACGCCGCTCCTACGCGCTGGATCCTCAACGTCCCGCTCCGCCCAGCCAGTGACGCGACGTGCACGTGGGCGGAGCCTAGGCTCCCGGGATCCGCCGGCTCTCGGCCTGTGGGTGGTGGTCCTGGTAACGCCGGTCGTAGAGGAGAGCCGGGAAGCTTCCTCGGTAGCCCGCCAGCTCTCTCGAATCAGAACCTCCCTCCGTGGTGGAGCAGAGGGGATCCTACAGGGTAAGGGCAGGCGGGCCGGGGACGCGCATAGGGCTGGTGGGGTCTGCCGGACCCGGGGGTCTGCACGTGGGCCGCCCGGAGCGGGGGCGCGGAATGGAGGAGGCTTGGGGTTTCAGGGGTCCAGACTCACGCGCCTGCCAGCTCCTCGGGCTCCAGCGGCGGAGCCTGCAGGCGACCTCAGGGTCATTCGCATCCGGCTTTTCCCTCCTACTGCCTTAACGTCCTGGTTCCATTAGTCTTCCTTGAACTCTGGGCTCCTCTGACCCGTGAGGGGAGCGATTCGTGGTCTGGAAACTGGGTGGGCCAGATAGCAGGGGTCTCTGCCCCCAGGAAGCTGGGGCTCTGCTGCATTCATTCATTCAGCAGCATTTACTGACCCGCTTCCTAGAGCTGTGCCAGTTGCAGGAGATCCTGTAGGGGAAGGACTGGCAGGCCCATTGCCTCTGGGCCTCACAGCCCAGGTGGGAAGCCCAGGTAACGGACAAGATCATGTCATTCTGACTACTGCGCATGTGAGGACAATAAACTCTGGCATTGCTGTGGTGACCAGGAATAGAGCTCATAGAGTGGTCAGGCGGTTATGCCTAAGCTGAGGAATGAGCCAGGAGTGCTCTAGGCTACGAGAGAGGGAGGGAGGGAGGGGGAGGCAGGCCCTGAGGTGGATAGAGCTGGATACCAAGCTGGACTCCCCTCAGTGGAAAGCCCTGAAGAGTCAGGAAGGTAGAAGAGAAGGGAGAGGGAGAGATGGGCAGGGGACCATGGAAGGAAGGGTGTTTTTTAACCTTAAATTAGAAGCTATAGAATGGTTTTAAGGGTTGAGGGAAAGCCTGAATTGTTTTGTAGATTATGGTAGGCACAGACCCCATATCCTGGGCATCCACCCAAAGGAATCAGTCACCCAGAAGTGCCTGGGTAGCTTCAGCTGTCTCTCCAGACACCTGTATTCCAGGATCATCAAGCCTGGAATCCTATATCCTTCAGGATGCCATGGAAGTCCTAACCCATAGCCACCCAGTGAAGGAATCTGAAACTTCTAGGAAGGAGGTTGCTTGGAGATAGGTGGATAGCAATTGTGATTACGAGGGCTTTCTGACCCACTATGCAGGAGCCATGATGGGTGGGGGATTAGGGTTTGTCTGGGGGAGGTTCTTGTGTTTCTGTTACCAGTATATTAAGAAGGTTCATGGGGGAGAAAAGCATCATGTTATAAATCTGGAAACTGTTTCTGTCTCCCTCCACCCTCATAAGTATCAGGTGGCTAATAAGGTATGTGTCTCTCTCCTTGGTGGAACCTCATATGAAAAACCAGAGAGGTGGACAACCATGTAAGGAGATCTGGAGGAGCCTCCTCTCTCACTCTGTCTTGTGAAAAGGAAACAACGGGTGATGTTAACAGGGCTGACTCATGTACATATGCTTTTTTTTCAGTGAAGTGGAGAAAAATCCATTTAAACCTACCAGGAGAATAAGTAGCAGTTTGTTAATGTCATTTAATTTTGGATAGGTTTTTAGCGTATGTGGCAGTCATTTGCACACATGGCCCTTTTGTGTACTTTAACTGAAAACCTTGAAGAAACTGGCCAACAGATTGTGTGGCCACTGATCCAAATCAGATAGAGCTTGTATTTCCAGCTCTATCCTTGCCTTCCCTAGCTCCTAGAACGTTTAGCCAAGGGATGGGGCAGGCACCTGCCTCTGGCAGCACTGACCCAGCCTCCATCTGACAGAGGGTAGCCACCAGCTGGAGACAGCTGGGAGCAAGATTTGCTAAGCCAAACCTCTTTTTGCCTTTGTACACCTTACATCCTGCCCCACCCTACTCCCAGCCTACTCTTTATTTCCCACCTGGCTTACCTACCTTATAGCCTTGTTCTAGATTCTCTCTTCCTTTAAAGGACAAAGCTAAATTTGAATTGTTTTCCTAAGTGGACTTCTAGGGAGAGCCTGGTCAACACATTTACATTATGGTGTTAGTGGTGCCCATGGAAATGCAATTTGCCCCTCCAGAAATTGTCTCATAGTACTAGTATCACAGAACAACCCAATGGAATGAAACTGGCTTTTAAGTTTGGGGTCTCCAGGACATGGAGGTGCCTGTGGACCAGGCTGTTCTGGGCTCTATGCTCTCTAAATGTTATTTTCTATTTAGACTCTGTTTATCTCATGCTGAGCTTGTTGGTATGTAACTTTAATGATTATGTATGTGTAATTTCATGAGAGTATTTTTTAGTTGTCTAAAGTAGAGTCTTACATTAACAGGGAAAGTGAAGTGATGGAGCATATTTGATTTCGAGACGGAAGCCAGAAAGTCTGGTCTGTGCCTCACCACGTGCCAGCTGTGTGATTCCAGGCAAGTCTGTTTTCAAACATTTCCTGGGCCTTGGTGCTGTCGTATGGAAATAAGTTGTCATATATTATGTGGTGTAAGTGCCAGCCTTGTGGGCCTCTGCTAACAGAATATAGCATATGTAAAGGGTATTTTTTTAATGGGTAAACAAAGATATTAAAGAGCAACCTTTGCCTCAAAATTTGGTGTGCCACCTGTTAACCTGATCATGTAGGACATGGTTTGCAGAGTAACATGGGACATGATAAGATGAAAAATGGTCTTCTGCCTGTGCGACTCAGGCAGGCCAGTATGGTGCCAACCTTCTGGTTGCAAAGGAGGAGAGAGAGTGTACAGAAAGAAAGAGAGACAGAGAGAGAGAGAGAGAGAGAGAGAGAGAGAGAGATAAAGAAAAGCAAGAAAGAGTCTTATTAAAAAACCTATCAAAATTGGAAGATGTTAGTATTTTGTGTCCTTACTGTTCATCCTTAGAAATAGTTGTTTTAGAGCTTTCTCTTTAAAAAAAAAAAAAAAAAAAAAGATCATTTCGTTTAATCTCTTAGCAATGAAAAACTCTGGGTTAAAGTGACCTAACGAAACGAACCGTGTGAGAGGGCCAGTTGTAGAGTGAGTTCTGGCTGCCTGGGGATGGGCATTCTCCAGGTCACATCTCAGCCTTGTTTGTTGCTGGGTCTTCTCTCTGTCATTAATTTCTTCACTCCTGATCTTAGTGAACATCTCCTTAAGGCACATGGTTCCCCAGGTCACAATCCCAAACCTGCTGTCTCATGAGGGTCATTTCTGCCCATGCCCTGCTGTCATTTCACACTTGTAGAAAACCTGGTCACTGTTGTCTCTGCCCAAACAGCCCTTCCCAAATGGTCTGCTTCTGTTGGTGGCCAACAATACTACTTTTGCCGTTTTATTTTGTGTAGGTCTTACAGCTTTTTTGTCCCCCATTTCCTCCATTATTGCCTTCCTTTGGGTATAATTGATTCTTTTGTAGGGACAGTATTTATTCCCTTCTCATTTCCTTTTATATATATTTTCTAGATATTTTCTTTGTGGTTACCACAGAGATTACATATAATATCCTAAAATTATAACAGTCTATTCTAAATTTTATTCCAGCTTAGCTTGAATTACATATAACTCTTCTCCTTTATATCATACATCTTCCTAATTTATGTTTTTGATGTCACAGCATTTGTTTTGCTTGTTTTACTTTTATTTATTTTGAGAGAGAGAGAAAGAGAGCACGAGTGCGGAAGGGGCAGAGAGAGAGAGAGAGAGACTCCCAAGCAGGCTTCACATTGTCAGCACGAAGCCCAATGCGAGGCCTGAACTCAAAAACTCTGAGATCATGACCTGAGCTGAAGTCAGATGCTTAACCAACTGAGCCACCCACACACTCCTCAATGTTTGTTTTCTAAATGCTGAAGAAAATAAAAAGTGGAGTTACAAACCAGTATACACTAATACCAGTTGTTGTATTTGTCCACATATTTAACTACACTGGAGATCTTTATATTTTCTTATGGATTTCTGTTACTGTTTAGCATCCCTTCATGTCAACTTTTAGCATTTGTTGTAGGGCAGGTCTTCTGGTAAAGAACTCCCTCAACTTTCATTTATCTGGGACTACCTTATTTCACCTTCATTTTTGAAGGACAGGTTTGCTGAATAGGAAAGTCTCAGCTGACAGATTTTTTCTTTCAGCAGTTTGAATATATCATTCCACTGTTTTCTGACTGCCAAAGTTTCTGTTGAGAAATGGCCTGATAATCTTACTATTTAAGGATCCTTTGTACATGATGAATTGCTTTTGTCTTGCTGCTTTCAAGATTCTCTCTTCTATTTTCTGGCTCTTAGTGGTGTGATTGTAATGTGTCTCAGCATGAGGATAAGCATGGGTTTATCCTCCTTGGAGTCCAGCCATTATTTCTGTCCCCCTCTCTCTCTCTGTCTTCTCTTGTGAGACTCCTGAAATGTGCCTGTTGGTCGCTTGGGTGTCTCATAAATCCCTTGGGCTCTGTTCACTTTTCTTATGTCTTTTTTTTCTTTTACTCCTCTGACTCAATAAATTTAATGTCCATGTTCAAGTTCATTGGTTTTTCGGCCTGCTCAAATTTGCTGTTAAACCCCTCTTGTGAATTTTTCAATACAGTTACTATACTATTTAGCCCCACAGTTTGTTAGGTTGCTTTTTATAATTTCTATTTTTTCATTAGTTTTTTCATTTTGTTGTCATATCATATTCTTATTTCTTTCAGTTCTTGTGTTTTCTTTAGCTTTCAGCATATTTAAGACAGTTGTTTTAAGTCTTTATCTGGTATATCCAATGCCTGTGTTTTTTCAGGGATAGTTTCTGTCACCTCTTCTTCCTTTGAATGGGCCATGTTTTCCTGTATCTTGGTATGCCTTCTGATTTTTGTTGTTGAAAAATGGAGCATTTAAGAAAATAGCCATCTTTACCAATCTTTGCAGACTGGTTCTGTCCCATGAAAGACCTTGACTAATAGAATGTGTCTGAGCCTTGGAGTCAGTCCAGGGCAAAGGCTTAAGGTCTTCTCAGGATTGTTACCTGGGCCTGTGTGTTAGTTTCAATTCTCCCATATATTATGGCTGCTTTTAAATGTCTTAATTTCTTAAACAGTTTCATCCACACTACTTCTTAGGTGTTCGATGTTCTGTTGTTTCTTACACACACACACACACACACACACACCCACCCACCCACCCCTGGCCTCTTACCCCAAGCATGTGTGGGTCTTCTGTCACCCTGTGACTTTCATAAGAAGTACCCACAGCTACCTTCCACAGTTTTCCCCCATCTGAGCTCTGAGCTCCAACTCAGGCAAAACAGAGACCTGTCTCTTGGGCAGCCTGAAGATAGGTTAGGGTGTTGCTCTGCTCCCTCCAGTTTGAGGGAAGAAGATAAGTAAACTCTGGGCTGCTGCTTCCTTTAGACCACACTGTACAGGGAGGGGTGGGGGCCAGGGTGAGTAAACAACCCTGAACTTACGACCATTCTGAATGTGACTTCTTGATTGGGCTTATAGATCTATGGATCTTTGACTGTTTTTCAGAATGCCTATAAAACATGTTAGCCAGTCCCAATTTTTTAAAATATTTCTGTGGGGGAACAAGGGCTTTGGGCTCCCTATTCTACCATCTTGCTGATGTTCCTCTCCTCGTTAAAGGATTTGAAACGGACTCTTTTTATTTTTATTTTTATTTTTATTTATTTATTTATTTTTATTTCTAGGAGAGAAAGAGAGAGCGTGAGCAGGGGAGGGTCAGAGAGAGAGGGAGTCACAGACTGAAACAGGCTCCAGGCTCTGAGCTGGCAGTCAGCACAGAGCCCGAAGAGGGGCTCGAACCCAAGAACCGCGAGATCATGACCTAAGTGAAAGTCGGACACTTAACCGACTAAGCCACCCAGGCGCCCCCGGACTCTTTTTATTTTTTTAAAATGTTTATTTTTGAGAGAGAGAGAGAACACATGAACATGACAGAGAGAGAGAGAGAGAGAGAACACATGCACATGACAGAGGGAGACAGAAGATCTGAAGCAAGCTGCGCACTGACTGCAGAAAGCCCAATGTGGAGCTTGAAGTCACAAACCGTGAGATCATGACCTGAGCCAAAGTCAGATGCTTAACTGACTGAGCCACCCATGCACCCCAAAACAGGGACTCTTGTGTGTCTGGTGACAGTATGGGAGGTAGACAGGGATAGAGGAGCATCTTCCACCCTTCTAGATAAGGACTTATATTCTCGACTGAGCAGCAGTGGCATAACCACACTCTGTCCCTGACCTTGAAGCTGCTGGCCTAGAGGGTGACATGGACCTTTAGGAATTAATCCCATAGACCCTGGCATTGTTACAGATTATGATGGTACCAGGCCAGAGGGGGCAGGGAGTACAGAGAGAGCATAATAGGGGTGGGGGCCTTCCAAGTTAAGGGTGGTCAGGGAAGGTGGGGACAATAACATTTCAGCTAAGGCTTGAGTATAAGAACAAGGTTGTCCAGGTTATTGCACAAGCATTCTGGGAACCAGTAACAGTGTGTGGAAAGGGCCTGAGGCAGAGAAGAGCTGAGTTCTAGGGATAGAAGGAGGCACTGGGTTCTTAGAACACTGTGAGCAAAGGCAAGAGAGGATGAGAGAAAGCTGCAAAGGCTGGTGAGGAGCCAGGGTGTGCACCATGATTCTAAGAACAGTAGGAAGCTCCCACGTGAGATCCAAGAGAGGCCCAAAGTTAGGCAGGAGCAGGGGTTGGGGAGGGAGGTTTGCTCCTTGGTCCTGCCAGCATAGACTTTCCCTGAGCCCTGTGTACAGCAGATGCTCAGTGGGGGTAATTTGTCCTGCCCCCTGCCTAAGCTTGGGTGGTGGGCCACTGGTGTCCCCTTAAGCAGGAGCACAGAGACAGCCAAAGGTTTGAGCAGTGCTCTTGGATCTGAGGGCATCCAGGTATGGCTGCGGGGCTAGATCCTGGAAAGGTTTGGCTACAAAAGGCCTGGACTCCCTTCCCCACCACCCTAAGGGCCACTTTCATACAATTTCTCCTCTGCCCAGACAACCTCAAGGTTGGTGTGAAGACCACCACAGGCTTGCCCCCTGTATTTTTAACTCTGGCCTCTGCTTTTCTCCTCCCCAGACAGTGCAGTCACACTGTCTTCCAGCACTCCTGCCTGTCACTGTCCCTTGTCCCAAGGGGGATGTTACCTTCTGCTATCCTGCTATAAGCTAGCACTCAGTATGTGTTCTCTGTGTCCTCTTCTGAGCACATCACACATCTCATAGTATCCCCAAACAGTGTCACGCAGCAGTTTTCCACCTTACAGATGAGGAGACCAGCTCCCATGAAGATTAACTTGCCTGCAGTCACTTGCTGCAATGGGCAGAGCACAAGTCCATGTCCTGCTTTCAACCTTGTGCTTCCCTATCTCCCTACTCCTAGGAGAGTCCACTACACTTACCACAACTGACAGAGTGAGGGATGGACATTCCCCAGGGGCAGGGAGCCCTGAGAATCAAGCACCCTGCTTCTTGTCTTTTGAAGCCTTATGTTCCTTCCCGCATGGTTTCTTATACCAGAAGCTGCTAAGAAAGCTTAAACTAATGCTTTCATTTGAGGGACTGAAGGGTATTGAACCAAAGACAGTGGTGCAGAGTTAGTTTCTTTTGCTGTTCAGGTAGAATTTCATAGATGTGGAAAGCACATAGGCATTATTTCCTCCTTGGCGGAGTGTGCTGCATGAGTAAAAAGAGGCATCTCCTATGAAACTTCCAGGAAAATGAGCTGTATTTCTCAGACATGGCTGGGGCTCTCTGTAGTCCCCAAGGGATGGGACTTTAAGTCTTCTAAGAAGTAAACGCCTATATAGAAGAGGAAGAATTGAAAGAATGGATTGGGCACATATTCCTGTACCTTGAAAGGTGTGGGGATACCATTTACATGTGGCTTTTTAAAGTGGCCACAAGTCCAAAAGCCACTTGTCTGAAACAGCACTTGCTCAGGACCAGGCTCAGACCGTAGAGCCGGCAACTGTGGATCTGTGCCCCGAGTCAGCCTCTGCAGCACCTACCTCAAGCAGGCTATCTAATCTTTTTAAGCCCCAGTTCCTCTTCTCTTCTATAAAGTGGGCTCATACCTTTTAGAAGCACTTTGAAGACCAAATGAAGCTTCTCATTCCAGTAAAAATGCAGACCAGTTTCTGGCTGAATGTTTTGTCCCCGAGCACAGGCACTTCTGACTTCCCCTGGAAGCTTACAGCCTAACATGTTTTTTCTGCTTCTCCTCCCTTTCCACCAACAGCTGCAGCACAGTCCTCAGCAGATAGAGACATGAGAAAAATACCAAATAATGGGAACCTGAAGATGACGAAGGTGGCGTACCCTCTGGGGCTGTTCGTTTGCCTGTTCATCTATGTCGCCTACATCAAGTGGCACTGGGCCTCCGCCACCCAGGCCTTCTTCAGCATCACTGAGGTAGCCTCTGGGGCCCGGAGGGGCCAGCAAGCTCACAGTCTCCCGGGAACGGCTGCACACGGTCATGAGGTTTTCTATGGCATCATGTTTGATGCGGGAAGCACTGGCACCCGTGTCCACATATTCCAGTTTGCCCGGCAGCCTGGAGGTATGCCGAACAGAGGGCCCTGGCCATTCACTGCATGGTTCTCTGTGCTCGCATCAGAGCTCTTGGGATCTCTTCCACTTAGAGACAGTGGTTTTTCAGCATGTGGGCTGGATGCCCTGCCTCAAGCTCATCTGGGAACTTGTCAAAAGTGCAGGTTCCTGGACAAGCTGGCTCAGGTGTGGTTTGGGGCCCAGGAATCTAAATTTCCCCAGAGCCTCAGACTATCCGTACTCAACACTAGTGCCGGAGTCCCGCTCCGGCAGGTCCAGGGGGTCCCTGAAGGATGGATGGTGTCGGCGAGAGAGGGATGAGAGCGCCCCGAGATTCTTTCTGGTCACCAGCCAGGCGTCTCAGCACTGTCTGAGACTCAACTTTATTTTATGATTAAGTGTTTGGGGGGATGGCACAAAAGTGGCATTCTGATGATAAATTCTTTGATCAGTAAAAACTTTGCAGAGCATTGATATGCGTAGGTGTATGGGGGACAGCCCAGAAGTGGCATTCAAATATAAACAGGAAGTTTTTAGCATAGTAAAGACAAAAGTTAGTTCTTTGAGAGCAGGGGTCAATAGCCTATTTATCGCTTAGTGGGAAGTATTAAGCAGGTTTTTCAGGAAACACAATGTTGCTCCCATAACCACAAAAGAAGACATCTAAATGTTAGCCACAGGGCTTATAGTTCCTATAATGTCATCCATGCCCAGGAATAGTATATCAGTCTGTACCAAAGTTATTATTTTATTAATGTAAACCCAGAAGCAATAGCTGACCTTTTTGTGTCATCGATTACTCAGTCTTGATCACTATTTCCAGATTACTGAGCATCAGCGTTTTCCCAAGCTACAACAATTTCCTTCACAAGGTGCAATCATCATACCAGGGCCAGAATAAGTCACTCCCAATAAATAAACAAGGTGCCTTGGAGGTCAGTGCTCAAGCAGAAACAATTGAGTGGGGGTGGATCTCTGCCACCATCTGACGGCAAGAGCCTTGCAAGCTTGCCTTAACCTCACAAGGAGTTTTCTCAACTCGTGAGTTCAGGAATGGCTCCTCACACACTAGCATCTGGTGATCTAAGCTACCTAAGGGCAGCTGAGATCCCTAAGGGTATTGTGTGGCCTGGCCTATCCCAGCATTCACCAGCAGGTCAGGTGGTTAGGACCATGACTTAAGAAGCTGCATTGGGAGAGGTTAAGGCAGGAAGTTGCCCCAGACTCAGTCTAGTATGAGGCCAGAGTCTGGGTAAGTCATGAACTAGCAAGACCTGGGGCTCAGGCTTATGTAGTGCTGCCCAGTGGATCAAGGAGGAGAGGGGGGTGACAGACAAGAGTGGCCTCAGCAGTGTGGAGGGAGCTGGAGCCTGAGCCTCATCAGCTTTGCTTGAGAGGGTGGGGGCCCCAGGCTTCTGGCAAGAGGGAGCAGGGAGTTTGTATATGTTTACCCCCTAGCTGCTCCTGTGGAGAGATACAGCCACTGCCTAGCTCTGCACTCTTTACCTCCTCCCTTTGATCTCCTTCCCCAGCACCTCTTGTAGCCTCTAGCTCTGAGGGTCATCCTCCAGCTTCTAGCCAATGAAAGTTTTCCCCTTGGCTGCCCAGTAGGTCTGCTGGTTGCATCTGGATCTTTGCTGACCCTCAAAACCTGTTGAGTAGATACTGTTTTTGAACTGGTGGCAACAGACACCATTAGTAGTTCTCTCCAAAACTGTCATGGCATTTTTTTCTCTACTCTTTATCTGCTTCATTAATTAACTCATTTCAGTAAGGTTTTATATGCCAGACCTCCGTATCTCCAAAAACAGATTTGAAGCTTTTAAGACCATTTGTGTTCAGAATGTAATTCTTCAGTAGCCGTATTCCAGTATCTTATCTCTGGAGGGACATCCTTTCAAAAAGTTCTGTCCCTGATTTTTCCTCCTGGGTCTTCATGTCCAAATTTGGACCAGCAACCCTTGGCCACCAGTGCGCCCCTGCACACTTGCTGTGTATGCTCATGGGTCAAGGCCCCTTATAATTTAAAACACACTTTTTTTAAAAGAAGGGAAAAAATAGATGTTCTTTCAGAACTACATCTGGGATGCACTACATCCATCCCAGAACAGAAAAATGATTTTCATATTTGTGGTTTGGAATTATCTGCTCTGCTCCTCTGTTAATTTCACATAAAGCATGTTAAAATTTAGCACTTCAGATGGATACAGTTTTGTATATAAATTATACCTCAGTAAAGTTGATTTAAAAAAAAAAGTTCTGACCAAAGCATCAGGTGTTAACACTCATCTTGTTTATCTGAGGCAGCATCCCAGTCACTCTGGGATTGGTCTGATTTCAGACGTCTGCCTTTGAAAAGGGCAGGAAGCCATGGTTGTATATATTTATATATTCATGTATATATTTGCAGTGTACCTTTTTAAACATGTTTCCGCCTTAGAAACTCCCACTTTGACCCATGAGACCTTCAAAGCACTGAAGCCAGGTCTTTCTGCTTATGCTGATGATGTTGAAAAGGTAATGATTTTTTCTCATATTTATTGTTCTTCACATTTGTCTTCCAACTGTGCAATTTGTTAAAGCCAGCTCCCTTTCTGTTGAGTACAGTAGGTCTTCTTCACAGAGAAAAAAGCATCTCTGACGTGCTAACCTGGTCATCAGCCGTTTAGGATGGTCAGTAGGAGGAAACTGGTATTGCACATGAGGCCGAAGGAGGGCCATTGCCCCACCTCCCCAGCTTCCTAGGCCCTTCCCCCAACCAGCACATGTGCCACCCAGAAGTCTTAGTTCAAAAGCACAAAGGCTACAAACTTGACAGAAAGCAATATTTGGGAGTTTTTTTGCAGTTCCTCTGATGAGGAAGACCATAGGTGACTAACACAAAAAATTGAAGTTAAAAATGTATTATGTAAAATCCACAAAACCAAATAAATGTAAAAGATTTGCTTAAACAAACAATGATTTTTTTTTAAGTTTGTAGCTTTTATATTTTTTTGAGTCCTTAAAGCTTATAGCTTTTACTGCTTTTGCACTAATGCTGGACACCTGTATTTCCACCAAGGCACTGATGAAATGGACCAGTTAGTGGTATAGCTATATATGTCTTTTGGCTCAAGCATGTCTTAAAAGCTAATATATCATTCTTGCCCACAAGTGTGTCTTGATCTCAGTGAAGTTATAGCCCTGCTTTCCTGTGGCTTGGTTAAAATTGAAAACGAGATTGAAATGAGTGATACTAGAGTAACCATGAGGTTACACATGATTAAATTAGGTGTCTTCAGAATAAACTCATAGGACTTTTAACCTCTTACTTGTTTTTAGTAGGCAGCACATGTTCAAGTGGGACATATTTCACAGCTTCACAGGACAGACAGTGAGAACCCCCCCCTCCTTCTCCTGTCCCCTCCAGGAGGGCTGGTGTCCCTGGTTTCTTATGTGTCCTTCAAGGGCTAGGTGAAACACGTATGAGCAAATCTGTATTCTTCCCCATCTCCTATTTGTACAATAGAATGGCATTCACATTGTTACATACTTTGTTTTTGTCACTCAGCAGTATAACATGGAGAACATTTACTATCAGAATATGAAGAGCTTTCTTGATTTTTCTGGCAATGGTATTGCAGTATTTGTGGGCACATTAAATTACAGAACCCTCCTGAAGGACATTTGAATAATGTCTAATGTTTTACTCTTAACAGTATAAGGCTGTAGTTTGTCACTTGATATGAACTCAATTACCCACATATCCAAAGGCATTCATGTCAGATGAATTCTTACAGTGGGATTTCTGAGGAAAAGGAATGTATGTTTTCTCCTTGGACAGACATTGTCAGATTGCCACCCACAGCACTGTACCTGTTGATAATACCCAGCAATACTTTACCAAAGCTGTTGTGCCGCCTCTGCACTGACACGGGACCCTTGCTAACTTTTAGGTCTCAAGCATTTTGGCAGGTATAAATGATTCCTCTGTGTAGTTATTCATGGGGTTTTAGCCCCATGAGGAACCCCGGAATTCATTCATGATGTCCAGGGGAATCACAGCTGATAGGATGTCACCCACTGGGGGTTGGTGCCAGGGTTGGGTGGGATTTGGGTTGCCAGAGTGTAAAACAGCAAGACCCTTCTTGTGTGTGTCCTTATCTGGCCATGCTCCACTGCCACAAGTGTTTCTCTGTGCTCACTTAGTCCCTGTTGCCCACCACACCTGCCAGCACCACTTACGTCATGTTCTGCTGATTTGGTAAATTAGAAGTAAACGTATTTATGAGTTAATAAAACCAAAACAGTTGGGGGAGCATCTGGGACCTGGTATGCTGAGCTTTGACAGACTCTACTTTTACCACATTCGCAGAGCACTTCAGGAATTCAGGAGTTACTGGATGTTGCTAAAAAAGACATTCCTTTTGACTTCTGGAAGGCTACCCCCTTGGTTCTCAAGGCCACAGCTGGTTTACGTCTGTTACCAGGAGAAAAGGCTCAGAAGTTACTGCAAAAGGTGATCTTACCCATTTACCCCTGGGGGGTGGATAGCTTATGATAGCTAGAAACACCAAATATTCAGCCATTGTTCAAGCAGTCAGAAGGGCTATGTAGAAGCTTCCTGAAGAGGAAAACACATCAAAATGTTAATAGTATCACCTTTATCTGTTTGTGTTTCCTAGAATGAATCTGTTGTGTGGTAACACCAACTTTGTTTTAAAAATATATTGAAGCCTTTTGAAGGGCTTCCTTCCATGCAGACTTGCTCCAGGTAGAGGGCTGTGGAAGCTGAGTTCCTGACACTTCATCTTCAGCCTACTTGTTCTTGTGGAAACTGCTAATTCCCCTCTTGGTCTTATCCACAGATTTAACTGCTGAGGAGGCCTTTAGCCTTCTCCTGCCCTGTTCTGTTTCTTACATGGCCGGGATTGTCCCCAGGCCCAACAGCAGCCCTGTAAAGGGGCTCTGGACCCTGTCTCTAACAAGTGCCTGGACGGTTCATATTGTCAGGCACATTAGAGAAACTGCTCTCGACAACATGGTCCCTCATTTTCTACTGTTTCTAAACTATGCAACTGCTAAATGATGAATTGTTGCACATTTTTCAAAGTCCCTTATAAAAATTACCTTTACATGCTCAAGTTGGATGGTGGGCCACAAGTGTAGTTAGAATTTGCAGAGTACTGAAGTTTCTGTGTGTTAATACTTGGTTAAAAAAAAAAAATTGAGAAGGAAATACGCCCAAATGCAGCTGCTCTCTGCCTTCACCTCCCTTCTGTGAGACTGTCTCCTGAGTCCCACGCTAAACTCTGCCTTGAGGGGCTTCTTACCCCTCATCTCTAGTCCTAAATAAGGTCAGTGTTTGGGGGCCTAGGGGGCTCAAGGTGCCCCTGAGCAATTCTAGCCCAAAGTGGCTTGAAGACAGGGCTCTTCGTGGTGGTGTCTGCCTCTGCCAGCCCAGGGAGTAGATTAAGGAGGGATACCACTTGCAGAGGATTAGAGAAATTTAAAACAAAACACAAACTTTATTACTTCATAGCACCAGCAGACGCCCTCTGCTGTTTTGTCACCACCGGCTGAAGCACAGCATATTTGGGAACTTTGAGTTTAGATTCTGAAGGATAAAGACATGTCTCTTTACATTTAGGTGAAAGAAGTGTTTAAGGCATCGCCTTTCCTCGTAGGAGATGACTGTGTTTCCATCATGAATGGAACTGATGAAGGTAGGGTCTCCAAAGTACTCTGTCCCAGGAGATAGGCTGTGTGCAGGGCTGCTTTTGGCTTCCAAGTGGGAGCTTTCTCCTTGGTCAGATGTGGGCAAATGAAAGTGGCAGTCCCACTCAATTCACAGTTCAGCTGTCTCAGGGTCTTTGTGGGCCAGTGTTAGAGATGGGTTCTCATCTTGACCAGCTCTGAACTGGGCACAGATGAAGTTTCTGAAAACAAATCCTCTTTCCAGTTTAAGAACATTTAGAGAGAATCCCCGATTGCTATCATATTTAGAAGTTTGCTGTTACATTGTTAATGCTAACAGAGAAACAGATTCCTCACCAGCACCATCAGGTTCCTCACCAGGGGAGGGGAAAGCAACATTTGGTTCTCTTCCAAAAAGAGGAAATTGATGATAAAGAATAGGAGGGAGAGATGTGACATTTGATAGAGTACTGTAGTGTTTTAGTATGGTTTCTTCTGGAACAGTCTTCCAGAAGCCGATGGTGACTTGATGACTGATGCCTTTTCCTGTGGTTGGTCTGGAGGCTGAGTAGTGAGTGTTGCTCACTTTGAGCTCCTGGAATCTGAAAAGTGGTCATTTGAGTGCATGTGTTGTTTATAGCATCTCAGGTGATTCACATGCTGTGATCCTCTCTTGTAGGCGTTTCAGCATGGATCACCGTCAACTTCCTAACAGGTACATTCTTCCCCACCCGCTCGAAGCTGACAGTCCGCAGATGCTATTCTTGACAGCAGCAGTCTCATTTCTACTCTTTAACCCCTTAGGGATCCTGTGTTACTACCCAAAGTAGGTTATTGAGTGGGTTGGGGGCTCATCAGGGCGAACATGGATCTTGCAAATAAAAAGGCTAGGAAAAGCAGCTTCTCTGCAGGCTTGGTTTTCACCAGCATGGCTCCGGCCTCTTCTGCAGCCACACCTGCCTGGGACTCTGTCCTCTCATTTCTGAGGAAATCATGAATAAAACCAGTCATGTTTTCAAATAATAAAGGTGGTTTTCATGCTCATCACCTTAGAATTGAATTCCTGTGCTGTAGGTAGAACAGGGAACAAAAACATTAGTTCTTGGAACGAGGTGGCAAGGATTCGTTATTCTTATTCTCAGTACGTTGATTTTTGTCTCTTTATTATAATTATGGCAAAGACTAGCATGTGTGACACATGTATGAAAAAAAAGAAGCTTTGTGGCAGAATTTGCCCCTTGGGGATAGAGAGCCATGTGAGGGGACAGATTGGGAGTGCTGAGCTGGGGGAAGGCATGCCTCTGGGCATGAAGGGACATCATGGAAGTCTGTCTCTGAGGAGTGAGCAGTAGTTAAAGGCAGGCACCACTTCTCTGCTGAAGGTCAGTGTCATCCTATATTGTTAAAGCCACAGCCAGTGGAGTCATGTTCGTGTCCCTTAAACATGTAGTACACCCTTTCATAGAGATTGTTAAATACAGCTGTTTCTCTGTTTTTCTTTCCAATGAGGAACCTAGCTCCTAAATTCTTCTTACTTTTTTGGCTGGTCGCATTCTAATTACTAATGCAACAATGCTGTGTTGGTTTCTATTCACTGTGCTCCAGGCAGTTTGAAAACCCCAGGAAGGAGCAGTGTGGGCATGCTGGATTTGGGTGGAGGGTCCACTCAGATCACCTTCCTTCCAAGAGTCGAGGTAACTGGTCCCTGCCACCTCACTGTGGCCCGTACCCGCCAAAGGCCTCCCGCCCCTAGGAGTTGCAGCCCCACAGGGGAGGCCCATAGAACTGGGGCCTCTGGGCCTATGAAGTCCATTCCTGTCCTGAAGGCCAGAGTTATTCACAGTTAGTGCTTCTTCACTTGATTTTAACTCTGAGGAAAAAAATGGAAATTTGGTCTTCAGTGAGGTAATAAATTAGATATTACCTGGAACCCTGGCCATAGAATGTGAGATGCTCCCCCTTCCACCCAGGTCAGCCAGAGAAGGGCCATTAGTTAAGGGGCCATTAGAGATTGATAGAGCTCAAACCCTGTATGAAAGACCTTATAAAGAAGATCAAAATGCCCTCAGTCAAGACCATAAGTTAACTACAGTGCCTTCCTCACCCACCAGTTTTTTTATTATTATTTTTAGTTTTCAGTGGAAGAACTTTTAAATTTACTCATAATTGTCTTGACTGGGCCATATTTGTCAGAATGGTAAATATTATAAGGAGGAAAAATATAGTTTTTCATTTTGGGCATTTTATTTTTCATTGCTTGTTCCAAACCTTTTCATAACATGTGACTTAATGAAAAACTAATTTAATTGAATACATCTGTCAATACCCCAGTCTTTTCAAGTGAAAGACCAGCAGGAAGGATAGTAATCCTCACATTCTTCCTCAGGACACCCTCCAGACCTCCCCACCTGGCTACCTGGCGTCACTCCAGATGTTTAATCGGACCTACAAGCTCTATTCCTACAGGTTTGTTTCAGGAGTGGGGGTGGAGGGCTGCCTGTCCAGAAGTGGGGCTCAGCCAGCCCTGTGCAGTGGCCAGAGCACCCAGTCACAAACTGGCCCTGGAAACCCCTGCTGGAGGCCCTGCCGGAGGCTCTCCTTCCTCCTTTTCTTCCTCCCTGCTATTCCTCCCTTCTGCCTTCTCCCTACTTCATTTTTCAATTCACCTACAGTAAAATCACATTTCTCTTTTTTGTGCTTATTCTGCTCTGCTTTGGAGGAGGTTTCCAAAAGGTGTGAAGAGCCCATGGATTGTGCAGGAATTTTCTGAGCCATCTTTAGTAGATTCTTGGCATATGTACTCCATAAAGATTATGGCACATCTGTGTCGTTCACTAGTGTCCACAGCTCCTAAGCAAGCTCTTGTCAGTTAACAGGCTCAGCCATTTATTGAATTGAATGCCCTGAACTCCACAAAGAGAGGCTTCTAGGAGCAGAAAGTCTGCTGCCTCAGCACAGGTTCCTCCCTCTCCCACTTGATTTGGATCCAGGCTGGGTGACCATACTGGAGGTGAAGTTGAAGATGGCACCAAGTGCTTCCTGTGGCCAGCCCCTCACCTAGGATTTTCTTTCCACAGCTACCTGGGCCTCGGATTGATGTCGGCGCGCCTAGCAATTCTGGGTGGCATGGAGGGGAAACCTGGTGAGTGGAATGAGAATTCAGAGCCCTTCTTGCTCAACAGGCTTGAGGGGCCCTTCAGGAAAAGTACTTCCACTCCCCACCCTCACAGTAGCCCACTGGGCCCTGGGGGACTGGGAGAGCCCAGGAGGGATGCATGTGGAAGAACATACCCTGCATCTTGTCAGTAGGCAGTCTGATGGTGATGAATGGTTTTGTGTTTTAACTGTGCACATGCTAAGTTATTTTTCGAAATGAAAAGATGCTAGTGAAGTCATTTCTCAAACACCAAGCTGGGAGATTTTAGCCACCAAGAAACTGTATAATTGTCACCTGTGTTTGGAAGGGACTGGTTTTTAAGGATCTGAAGGGAACTGGGGTGCCTGGGTGGCTCAGTCGGTTAAGTGTCCAACTTTGGCTCAGGTCATGATCTCGCAGTTGATGGGTTCAAGCCCCACGTCGGGCTCTGTGCTGACAGCTAGCTCAGAGCCTGGAGTCTGCTTCAGATTCTGTGTCTCCCTCTCTCTCTGACCCTCCCCTGCTCACATACTCTCTCTCTCTCAGAAATAAATAAAAAACATTAAAAAATGATCTGAAGGGAACCTTCTTCTTCATAACAGTACAGGAGGGGCCGTGAGGAAGTGATTTTGGGTCTGCTGCCTTGGACTTGGGAGAGTTTTTCCCTCATTCCCAACAATTCTAGTCTTGTGAGAACATCCCTCCATCTTCTGTTGCTCTATGAAGGACCATTAAACACAGGCTTAGCCCTTCCTACAGACATGGCATTGGACTAGGGACGGAGCCTATGTCAGGTCAGGATGTTTCCTCCCAAGCCTTCTCTATCTTCCCTGACTGGCCTGGCTGAAGAGAAGCCTGGTACATGACCTCTTATGAAGTCTTAGGGAATTACCATGTTCTGATTTTGGGGACACTGCTCTGATGCTGGCATTGGCCTCTGTTTTCTGATGGCATTGATCAAGGCCCAAAGGGCTTGACTCATGCCTCTGGTCCAGACATGTGTGCATGAGGCCATACCTGTGCTCCAGCCACAAGCCATTTCCTCAGCCCTGCCTCTCCTTGCCTCACACCTGCTCTCCTCCATAGGCCTAGCACTTCTCTGCACTTCTTTTAAGGGCCTGGTTTTCTGACAGAGTGGTAATGTTTAGCTGGAATTTTTGTTATTCACATACATCTTATTTCAGTTCACTTATTTGAAATCCTAGTGTTTAATCTCATTAACCTGTGGTTGCAAATCAGAAACATGTCCATGTCTCAGACATACCTGCAACCTTTGTTCTGGGGCCAGAAAACACCTATTTAGCCAACAAGAAAAAGGCAGGTGTCGGGGCGCCTGGGTGGCTTAGTCGGTTGAGCGTCCAGCTTTCGCTTAGGTCATGATCTCGCATTTCGTGGGTTCGAGCCCCGCGTCGGGCTCTGTGCTGACTGCCAGCTCAGAGCCTGGAGCCTGTTTCAGTCTGTGACTCCCTCTCTCTCTGACCCTCCCCTGCTCACACTGTCTCTCTCTCTCTCCTAGAAATAAATAAAAAAAAAAAAAAAGAAAAAAGAAAACATTTAAAAAGAAAAAGGGCAGGTGTCCATTAGCGTGTTGGTGGCTAGCCTTGGAGTCCCATTATCTGCATGAAGTGCCCATTTAGGACACATGAGGCTGTAACACCTGCCATGAAGGAGGTGGACAGCTCCTGCCCCAGAGGAATCCTCTCCCTATTGTGTTGTCTGTTGCTGCACAACAAGTACACACCAAACTGAGTGGTAGAAACAAGCAAACAGCAGTCATTTTATTCTTGTGTCTTCTGATTGCACAGGCTTGAGGGGGGCAGCACCTCTTCTAGGATCCCTGGGGTCTTGTGTGGTGACACCTGGGGTGTCTGGGTGAATGTCTTGCATCTCAGCGCTCTTCCATGTGGCCTCCCCCAGCAGAGTAGCCTGCACTTCTCCCTGGCAGATCAGGAAAGAAAACTGCCCTGAAGTCACATGTCATCGTGTCCTACACATTCCATGGATGAAAGCAGGCCCAGTCCAGAATCAAGGGCAGTCATAGGGACTCACTTCTCAGCACGCACATCCTTAAGGGGTGGCATCGTGGGGCCAGTCTTGGAGGCCAACCACCATGCTTCCTGTGCTATTTATGGGGCCCAGGTTTTATGTTGTGGGGCAGCACAGATGCGTGGCATGGTGGCATTGTTCTGGCCCTACCAGGTTACTTGCTGCCTCATTTGTCCATAAAATCGGATAGCATTGGCTCCCCTTCTATTAGGATGGTTGTGACAATTGACTGAATATAGCACTTGGCTCAGTGCCTGGAACCCTGAAGCCCCTCAGTGCATGTAAGCTGAGGGTGGCTATGTTTCCAGAACTGATGAGGTTTTGCGGCAGCTTCTGTAATAGAGAAAGGCTTTCCCTCTCCTAGTTGACCTGGAATGCTTCCACAGGTCAGGTCTAATCTGTCAAAAAGAAGCATGTTCCTTTGGCCCTCCAATGCCTTCATTACTAGAATTGGGGAGGAAAATGTTTTCTTTTGGCCTATTAGTTAAATTGACATAAGACAGATTAATAGGAGAAAAATTTAATTACGTATGCACAGGACTTTCATAAGAATATGACACCCAAGGACAAGTCAGGCAATTGAGGCTTATGTGCCATCCTGAGCTAAGGAATAGGATAGAGGCCTGGGGCTCTAAAGAGGAGAAGGTCATAACGAGGTCTGCACAGGTCCCAACCTGCTTGGGGTTTGGGGTTGCTGTCTACCTCATAAAGCAAAGTAGAGGATTTGTCTTCTGGGAGGATGAAGTTGTCTTCTCTGAAAAAGCCTCCTATATAGTTGGCTTTGGCATCTTCCAAGAGTAGAGAGGCAGGGATTGAGGTCTCCTGAGTCTGGTTTTTCAGCTGAGGTAGAGAGGGAAGACAGTGCTTATACCCAGAAAGTCCAAAGTTGGCTATAGTTACCTCTAGGACTCTACTGTTAACCCAGCCTAGGCTTATGACAATCACAGAAGTGGATTCCTTAACAATATAATAATAGTACAGTTTAAAAAGGGGAGGGGGAGGGGGATTCACAGGACAATAAGAAGACTAGATGTTTGGTCATTAGCTGTGGTTGCCCTCCCATACAGAGGTCATTCTTAAAAACTTAACTCTGGTAACAGCTCTCTTTCTGGGCTAGATGCCCTATCTAAATTCTTTTAGGTATTTAAAAGAAAGGTAAAAGTTTTTCTTGTATCTTCTGGATCTTGATTCTTAGCTCACAACACTCCACATGCCAAAGTGGCATATTTTGGGGTCATCTATTCGGCTCCATGTTAGTTCTGCCTTTGAAATTTCTCTATGAAGTTTCACAGTCCAGAACTCAAGCTAACAGATTTTTCCATCTCCCTGCACCAGGCTCTTAGTCCTGATAATAGATGGCTTCAGTTAGATAATTGTGTTTCATTTCAAGACTCAGTGATTCAGGTGGGCTCCTAAAATTAGGCCTGTGGTGCAAATCAGGTTTTTAAGTAAAAGGCGTTTCTGTGGAAGTAAACACAGTGATTAATGATATTGGAGCAGATTGTAATTCTAGTTTCTGTTCTGAAGGCAGCCATGTGAAGAGATTTCTAGATGTCTAGCTTGAAGCACCTTCAGACAGAGTGAGGGACAGTCAGTGGCAAACTGATAGGCTTTCCTGTTGCAGTTTGAATGTCTTTGGTGATCTTTCTGAGTAGTCCATGCAATAGCAGGCATAAAGAGTATCCATACATGAGCTGTTGCAGTGATTTCTCTGAAGTTTATATCCAGTTGTGCAGCCTAGGTTGCATGGCTTCAAAAAAAAGACAGTTTTAGTTCTCAGTGATTCTAAGTCAGAGGTGTGGAAGAAAAACTGGAATTGTTAACTTGGAGAGTTATAGTCAGCTATCAGAGAAAAGTAGAATAATGAGGCTCCAGTCCAACTTATAGGCAGTAAATAAAACCTCAAAGACAGGAGGAATAGAATCTCATACCCACAAATGTATACTGTGGTTTCTACTAGTCACTACATTTCTACCAAGATAAATCCAGCAAGCCTAATTTGTTTGCAGATTAAGTTTATTTTCAATAAATTTGGTCTGATTACTTGCATAAGTGCAGCAAGAATACGGATTGACTGTATAGGCTCTTTTAATCCTCTTTGCTGGAACTTTCCTAAGAAATCTCAGACTGAAGTTTTTAAAATAGCCTCTTGAAGCCAGAATGTCAAGCCAAGACCATCATCAGACTTAATTTGCAATACCTATAGTTTAGGTTAATTCCTCTCGAGGTTCCTAAAATATCATGAGGTTCCTGCACCTGCCAGAAAATGACATTTACTCGCCTGGTAAGCATACTGGGAACTCTTCAAGCAAGGTATCAGGCCAGTTTTTTCAGGAGGCTTCATTGGCTTCATAACGCCAGTCTTAGTTCCTTAAAACTGTCTGGTCATGTCTGAGCTGACACACATTGTTCTCAAATATGACATTCCAGTCAAAACCTTTGTAATATAGCCAGTGTTTCCAGTTGTGTTCTGGAGACACAGGAGAATAGATTCTCACTGAACTTACACACATAACTATATTGCCATGAAAATAAGAATATTCAGTAAGTTTCCACATTCTGGAAGTATCAGATAGGGAGAAAAAATAATTGTTTCATCTTTGTTCACGAAGGTATATCTTACCAAGTTGTTGATAGCTTAAGAAAAAAGAGAAAAAAGTTTCCTTAAATCTGGAAAACCAGGGGCACCTGAGTGGCTCAGTTGGTTAAGCATACAGCTCTTGGTTTCAGTTCAGGCCATGATCTCATGGTTCGAGAGTTTCTGTCTCCATCTCTCTGCTCCTCCCCCATTTGCACTCTCTCTCTCTCTCAAAAATAAATATTAAAAAAATTTTTTTTTTAATCTGGAAAAGCAAAACATAAAAGAACAGGCAATGTTTCAAAGAAAAACTTCTAAAAATTATAATCCTTCTCAATTTATTCAGTTCCATATAATTAGTACTTGTTTCCCTTAAATCAAG